CAGCGATTGAATCGGTAAGAGCTTCAGGTGCCATTTCCCGAGTGGAGAAGTTAATGTGGCCATATGCGTGAAACGTTGCAAGAAGAATTGACGATCACTAGACAAACGACCGGTAGGAAGTCGTCATTGGATGAGCTTAAGAACTTGTCATCATGGATCATGATGGATGAAAAATTCAGAAAACATTAATTCATGGCAAAGTCTTGGAGGGGTTTTCTTTCGGCACGGGATTGGACAAAGGCTGATGATGCTAGCTTTCAATACACATTTTTTTATATTATTTAAATGATTTAACATAGAATCACTAAGTGCGGAACTACTATGATGCCGGAGCGAGATCCACAACGACACTGCATTTGGAGGTGACAGACCAACTGTATGCAATGTACGTACAAAGGTCTGAACAAAAAGCATTACATGGTACCAGAGACATGACTATATTGAAATCACTCCAACAGGAAGAAAATCTCGTAGCGAGTCAAACTGTATATTAAATAGAACGACAAATTTCGACACTCTAACCTCAATGGTGAAGCAGTGAAATAAAGATGGTAACGCTGAACGATCCTGTGCATTGCAGGGCGTGTTCGTTTAGCTGCGATGGCTTCTCAAATCTTGTTGGTCTTGAAATCAGATTTTTCTAGCCAATGCATACGTTGGCCTGCAACTCGATGACAGAGTCAGAAAATTCTTCCGGACAGCGTTGTTTAAAAAATCAAGGAGAAAAATCTTTTCTGTTGCTTGCGATGTTTCTTAACGGTGTGCTCCAGCCATTACTAAGCAGTGAAGCTATCACTGTCATTGCGGCAAGTGTGTGCAACAGCGTTACAAACTCTCTTACGATTACAAATTATGTCACATTGCTAGCAGACAGCATCGAAACTGCAACATCACTGTTTCTAACTATGAAACAAAGTTGTTCTGTGGCTTGGATCTCTGAATGAACTCAAAGAAGACGAAGTGACCTTAAATTAGTAGAACACAGAACAATGTCCGCCAAACACTTCTCACCAAAATTTTTGGAAAAGGTACCAGAGCAACTATGTCTTGGAGGCACTTTGGCTGCAGAGGCACTGCGCATGGGTAATAGCACGAAGTTGCAGATATGCAGGGCTTGCACTTTACTGCATGGCTTGGAGAAGACATCACTTAACAAAGCTGAAGATATAAAACTGGCAGCGAAAGAATTGAATAGTTTAAGTTTAGTATAAGGAGTGAACTGGCATGATCTGATGTTAAACGCAGTTGCAACGTTCGGCTGGCTGCAAACAAGACGCTCAAGATGTTTGGGTCGTTGCCAACGAATGAATGATAGAGTCACCATGCGAAGCGGATAATGGCAGGAGGGCACCATGAAGGTATGAAACAAGGTGGGAAGATCTCGAAGATGTCATCGAACTGGCTGAAGAGTGAGCATGTACTTATTCGTTCAAGGTGGAAAGCTTGTACGACATCCGGCATCGTCATCGATGCAATGGGATAAGAAGTAGAAGAATTCGATATGTTGAAGAAACCATAGTCTGATGGTCGAAACTTGCTCTTATTTTCAGATATCCGGACAGCAAGGTTGATTGATGAGGTGTGGCTTGAAATCTCAAACACTGATCATACTTCTGACCTGGATATCAGACATTATGTTCATGTGAAAGCTGAAGCATGATTGAAGATACACGATGTCAATTGACTTAAGGGACATAAAGAATGAGACCTACAACATGCAACGATTTAGAACTTGGTGTCATATTTTACAAAATATACAGAAAAGTTAACACCGATATTTTGGAAATAATACGCCATTCAGAGAAAATACGGCGACTCTCAAGAAATGGCAATAAGTGAGACAGAGATGATAGAAGAAAATTAAGAATGCGTGCATGAACAGATGAACTTTAAAAATGGATTGGAAGGAAACTTCTGCAACTCCTTAGAAAAATGATTCATAGCGTTTCTTCTATTCCTTTGTATAATGATGACGTTCAAGCATACAAATAATTTTTTCGAGTACCTTGAACCGCAAAACAACCGTGGCAATGACAAAGTAAGCCCATGTTTAAATTGTACGATACTAGCAAGTACAAGTTTAAGCAATTGCAATAGGCAAATTTCCCAACTCGTGATTTTGCAAACAGCTCGGAAGATGCTACAATTTGCCTTTAGACATTCGTGGTTGGACATGTCCTAGGATTACTCCTGTGCTGCTTTAAACAATAGAGTTGTGAGTCATTACACCAAATTATACGGTAACCTTCAGCGACCCCTCGCTTCTAAACACCTATCAGAAACATTTCAGCTGGTTGCTGCTCTGTGGCACTTGAGCACCGGCAGCATTTCTGATTTGGTTCGAGCAAGACCGAACCAACTCGACTTTGTGGTTCAGGCAAAAAGCATGCACCTGGCGTTATTGGTAACGTTCTTAAACCGAAAGACTTTAACTTGATTTAAAAATCTGAGTTCACGGGACAAATATCACTATGGCTTAATTTCACTAAAGCAGATTTCTTCCAAGAACAACTAAGATCGTGGGTACAATTTCTTTCTTCCGGATTTACGGCCCAGGTTTTTCTTTTACACGAAGTTTCATTGAAGGCATACAAAGGTCATACAAACATCAACCAATGACCATCATTGATTCTCTGACTGATCATCTTAAATTTCATTTGCGCAACGAAAGGCATCATATCAAGCGCTGACATGCTTTTAACGCCTCATATATCTGATCGAACAGGAGAAGGTGCATCAAATGACTGCAGTCAGTGAATGAATCAATCAGTGACTCAAACAGTCGGACGATTGGTCCGACAGACGGACAGACAGACAGTCATTAACAGAGCTGCGAATATTTCATGAACAGTAATTAAACGACAAGAATTGAAACTTTACCATGATTGCTTACCTATAACAATTGGCAGGTATTCACTGAAAGTTACATGTTGAATTTGGGCAATGAGGATCTTTCGACTTTCCTGGTATATGCGTTCGTCGTTCCAGTTACTATTTAAAATCTGAAACAAAAGTTCATTATTTCATTCTAATCCCCCAAAGTGCAGCTTCTCTTCCAACTTTTAATTTCCTGGCGAGGTTGTTATGTTGCCTCATCCATATCGTATGTATTGCTGTTAAAGTAGGTAAGAAGTTTGCATGATCAGAGCCTAAGCATTTCGTTTTTATCAAGCAATAGATGAAGCTAAGGTACAAATGGCTAAATGCAATTTAATGAAACCTATATGAACCCTTACCTGACATGAAGCACCTTCCACCTATTCGACCAAAACATGGCCCCTTGACAGACACTTTGTGATGAGGTAGAAGTTCCTTCTGAAACGGAAGTAAGCTGCTTCGTAGTTTGCCTAAGCTTTGAATC